TAGTCAAACTTTCACATTTAACTTAGAAAATCATAATAAATATTTTCCACTAAAATTCTTCTATTTCTCTTTATCCTTTTTAGCCCTTAACTATTTAGGAATATTCCTTATCCCTAATTTCCATATTACTAGATGTGACATTTTTTCCTCCTAAATTAATTTCGCCCTCGAAATTTAAAGCGTATCTTGTTGGAAAAGTTTAGGATACTTTTTCTTTATCTCAGTCTCCATCTCCCACATAACTTCTTTTGGTGTAAGACCTTTTTAGACAACCTCAACTAGTGGAATCTGCTTATTTCTTAGCTGTTTGACTTTCTAATCAATGATTCACTCTAATCTGACCTTAAAAGGCAGGTTGTCGCAAAGCACAATGTCATCATAACTTATGACATGTGTCGGGTCTGGATGGTACTTCTTTAATTAGGAGATATAAAAGACATCATGAATTTGACTCAAGCTTGGGGGAAGGGCCAACTTATAAGCTACTGGTCTAGCTCTGGACAAAATTTGAAACAGTCTGACGTACTTCGGAATCAATTTCTTAGTCTTTAGGGATCGACTAACTCCCGTTATTGGCGACTTTTTGATGACCAACCTCAAACTCTAAGGTCTCCTTCTAGTATCTGTGTAACTTTTTCTTTTTTTGGTCTACTTTAGACCGTTTGGAGTCTTTGTTGAATAGCTTTAATCTGCCGAGAAGTCTAATCCACTATAACAGGATCATACTTACTTCTTTCACTGATTTCTGTCCAGCATAAGAGAGATCTACACTTCCTCTCAAAGAGTGCTTTATATGGCGCCATTCGGATACTTAAATGGAAATTGTCATCTTAAGTGAATTCCGCTAACAGTAAGAACATATCCTAGTTTCTGGTAAAATCAAGCACATATGTGCATAGCATATCTTCTAATATTTGTGTCATTCTTTATGTCTGCTCATCCATCTGTGGATGGTAGGTTATACTGAATCTGAGAGTAGTGTCCATTTCTTTCTTTAAGGACTTCCAAAACTTCGAGTAAATCTCGAGTTTCGGTCTGAAACAATACTGGTTGGGACACTAAGTAGCCTAATAGCTTCCTTAACTTTTATCTTCCATTTTCTACTAGAATTAGTGCTTTCTTGCCAAAATAGCTAACATTTCTGGCTTTTGCACCCTCTTACATTACTTCCTAGGGTCACCCTTCTTTGGGCTACTCTTGCCTGAGCACGCTTAACTGAACAGTACTGACAGGAATCTGAGGTACTGATTCTGATAGGCTTAACCCTGGTACTCTGCTGTCTTAGTTCCTTCTTGACTCTAGCCTCATCTTAAAGATCTGCCCGTCAATACTCAGTCTGTCTCTGTATCACAAGGGTCCTTCCTATATTTGGAGCTAGCATAAATGTCTCTTTTTCAAGTCTTATGGCTCTAATTCTTCAAACTTTGGCTTTTCTCTGTTAATCGGAAGGAAATCAAACCAAGTCTAATCAATGATAAGGTTATCTGGAAGGAAGTCATGGGTACTCTCTCGGTACTGGTTTACAAACGAAGGAGGTTTCCAGATCTCCAACTCATCCCTGGTCCTCATCTTCCCAAAGAGGTACTATACCTTTACTTTTATGGCTTAGCCACTTTCTTTAGGCTCGATCTACTGTGACCTCAGGAGCTACTGTGCTCTACCATAAGCCTTTTCAGGATCCACTATAACCTAGGAGTACTATCATTAGTTTGAGCTATATTAAGACCTCTGGGAGACTTTAGACCATAGGACTAAGTGAAGTCACCTCCACTTAGTTGGTCACCTAACTAATAATTCCCCAAGACTGTTCTAAGAACCAATACCATTCTCTTAGGCCTCATGTCAATTCCCCAGGCCACCTATTTGTCTTTTTAAGTGCCTAACCCAATCTGCCTTAGGAGTTCTCTTACTCTTCTAGCCGCTTTTACCATCTCTTACTATTTTAGAATGGTATAGAGAGAGGACTCATGCAACTTCTCTTTCCTCTACTTCACTTTTCAGTATGAGCATACTCTAATATGCATAATACCTGGTATTTCAATACAAGGAGTACAAGCTCTTATTAGTTGCTATGTCCATAACGTGCCTTCCAGACATCTTATCCCTTTAAGAGGGAGCCTCTCTTTCTGTTCACAGTTATTTCTAAAAGTCATAGGAAGAGGACTTATGAGGTTCTTCTTCTTTCTGCTTGCTCTAGTACTCTAGTAAGCTCAGGTACATCCAAGCCTAGCTTTTTTTCTTCTTAGCTAGTCATGCTTTCATTGGGTGAAGTCACTCTGCTTGCCTTGCCTCAGTTACTTCCCTTTCCTGCTCGGATAAGGTATCTTGCTCTATCATGAGCAAGATCAATTCTGACTCGGAGGACCAATTCCCACTTTCTCTAGGAAGACTCCTGGCCAAGACCTTATCCCCTAAAAAGGGTGCCTCTCAAACTAATCCCAAGTAACTGAGTATCTCTTAACATTATTAGGAACATGCCAACTTCTTAAGCTAGTTCCCTACTCAGCTATCCATCTCTCCTTGATCCTTAAGAAATTTCACTAGGGCTTTCTATCTTGCCTTCACTATGACCAAGTTCCTATTTGTCTATTTCGGGACTTGAGATAGCTACTCTATCATAGTGCTCGCAGCCCTAACGTGGCTGTAAGAGTTTGTCCAGCTTAGGTAGCTACTACACCTTCTTAGTGGTGAATAGAGTCAACACCTAACAGTCTTGTTCAACTCCTTATCATTACACTTCCTCTTGAGGGGGAATTTGATAACTCTAAGTAGTGGCCACCTATCTCTTTCTTACCTTTACTAATCTTACTTTCTGCTACCTTTGAGAGTCATTGTGTTTCATTGAGTTACCATCTCAACATCTGAGAGTTATTGTGTTAATTCTTCGTGACCAAAATCCTTGTGTTGCAGTGATGGAAGTTGCCGCCTCCCTTGGTAATCACTTCCGTATTTTTTCATTACCACCAATTCCCTTGGTTCATCATGATGAAACACACTTTTCTCTTAACCTCTACTAGTCTTACTTAGCTTTGTTCATCATAGCATTGCCCGTCTGGGCTTCTGTTACAAAGCTCAACTTAACTTCCGGATTTAACTCCATTTCTCTTAGGGTAGGATCAGGGTTTTGTCTTTGCCGTTATAGGATGACAACTAATTCAATTCAATTAGCATATCAATTTCATAGAAGCCATACATATCAAATCTAAAACAGCACAACTATGTTCATAACCAAGCCGAGTCTTTTAATATAGGCATACAAGATAAAAGAATGACGAGCACCTAAATCAAATATTGCAATCATGGGGAGTTGTTAATAATAATCATACCTTGGATTATTTCTGGAAACTTCCAGGCTTCTCCCCCTATGAGGGCAAATACTCGTCCTTGGGTGCATGGCCTTGCCTTCTCTGTATTATGCGGGCATTCTCTCAAGAAATGTCTGGGCTTGCCATAAGTGTAGCAAATGTTCTGCTCAGCCATGCATGGTCTGTCACCATGATTCTTGTCGTAGGTCGAACATTCCTTGCCATTTGAGGGCTTGCCTCCCTTCTTACTCTTTTTAACCATCAAATGATAGTTCAAGTTGTTCTTTGTAATTTGGTAGACCTCAACTGTCTTGTTGTAGTGCTCGAACTGCTTGGGAGCAATCATCTCCCTTAAGGACTACTTTAGTCATTTGACCATTTTCTTCGTCATCCACCTCTCATCATCTCGGTAATGCAGGTAATTAGCGTAGTGGGAGAGACGGATAAACTTAGCTAAGTACTCGTTAAATGGCTCATTATCCTTTCGCTTCAAGCTCAGGAATTCCTCTTCTCTTTCATCCCTGACTGACCTTAGGAAATATTTTTCATGGAATTGCTCCAGGAAAAGTTCCCATGTTACCTTTGTGTTTCGAGCATCCAGAATAAGTTCAATATTCTTCTACTAGCGGTCAGTATCTTTTTCTAACTTGTAAATACCATCTGGGCCTTCTGCTCCGTCAGGTAGTCTAATACTTTAAAGATCATCTCCAAGCAGTTAATCCAGTCTTTTGTTGCTTAGACGTCAAACACTCTATCAATGATAGTGGGTTGTGTTTGCAGAAATGGGTCATCTATTATTGGATGCTGTCAGGGTCTACTGCTGGTATTCCAGGCCTAGGCACTTATTCTGATGTTGGTGCTATAGGGGTTTCTTCCTCTGGCTGCCTCCTGTCGAGGTTAGCCATTGTCGCTGCCGCCGCTATAGCTATCGCAGCATCCCTCTCTTGTTCCAGAATTAACTGTAGTGGATTGGGAGAGACCCTTGTGCCCTGAACTGGGGGTCTCTCTGGTGAAGGGTTTTGTCGAGTTCTAACCATCGTGTTTGACTAAACGAATAGCATAGTAGAGGAATAAGAAGTTAACATCATGCTTGGATTTTATTTAACAAAATATTTGTCATACAATACTTATACATTAACCAAAACAGCAAGTTCAAATATAAATACTGATGCAAACAACATAGCAACCAAGCATCGTCAACCTAACCTACTAGGGTTAGTTGTAACAAAACATCCTACGTTAATGTTACGAGGATCTCTATCCATCTAGAGGAAGTGAATAATAACAAAGCCATTGAGGCTTTGGATCTAATCCTCTATATCGTCTCCAAGTATACGGTCCAGACGGACAATCTCATGTGTCCAGAGGGGTGCATGGGGTAGGATGTCCACCATCTCTCGCAGCCAGTCATATGGTTCCAAGTAAGGATTGTCTAGTCCATGGGCCTGGTACAGCTCTCTCACGCCCTGGAGGTAATCTAGGTGTACTCTGAGGTCTACATCTACATCCCTCCTAATGTGTCGCCCTAAGAACCTCAATCTATCACTCAACTGACCTATACTACGAATCTCACGATTATATATTGACAATAGTTGTAAACAAAATGAAACTAATTCTAATTCTACAACTAAAGCCAAATCATAAAAGAGAAGTAACTACCCACTTTAGATAAAGAATTGTTCGAACACATCTACATCACTCTTTAATGACTTCATTTACTTGGTTGTTAGTGTAGTTTGTGCAACGTGCATCTTCATAACACTGCTCAGTAATTTAACATAGCCAATTAAAATCACTAAAAATTAAGTATTAGACAATAATTAGTTATTAAACAATATAAAGTGAAAATAAAACTACTTACATTCTCAGGAATAAAAATCTGATTATGAGTAATAATTTCCTTCATGAATCTCATAATATAATAACCACAATCATTATTATTGGGTTGGAAAGGGCACTGCAACAATATCATCAAATAGTTAAATCAATTTATGAATGCAAATAATTTATTTTCAAAACTTAAGAATTGAAATAAATACCTGAATTTTCTTCCACACATAGCTTCTTGAGGTGTCAACAGTTTTAGAATAACTCAATCTAGCAGAACTTCAATAGCCAATCAACGTACTAATAAAATGAAGTTGAGATTAAATTGGTTATTCAGTCATATTATCTCCGGTCCTTAATAACATAATAATCCTCTAAATAAAAATAAAATAGCATAAAAATTATATAATTAAAAGAAAATTCAGAAATATTCGTATATGAACTTATATGAAATATAGAAAAATTCAGAAATAAAATAGCATAACTCTAGTGAACAATATTACTATAAAATATACAAAATATAGAAACTTGCATTATTCACAAACCGCGCTCTCTCTTTTTTTAAGTTTGATGCACACATATATGAACTTATAAATTCTAATATGTAATATAGCTACTACAAACGCAGGCTGTATATATATGTATATATAATATCATACAAATATACACATGTACACAAGTATGGGCAGACACTTTACTTATTGATCAACCACACCATATCAGGACGGTCTCTTGGTTGACCATGCTTTAAAGGATCCAAATAGTAAATAAGGGGACCTAAAGGTACCGCTGGATTGATCACAATCAATATCCAATGTTGCCTAAAATTTTTTAAAAATTGTTTAATTAAATCAAAAGTAGCAACATGATTAACAAATATCATAACTCATAAGAGTACAACCAATGACTTATCTCGTATTGAACGGTGCTCGAAATAACATATTACGAGTTGCTTTTGCTGAGAAATACTCTTTAACCATATTAGATTGAAAATCAATGTCTTTTTTCCAGTATGTTGGCCTATCATATAGGGATTGATAAATAAGAATTGTACTGATCTCTCAGTGTCCATCAATACATCATGGTGTTGGAAATTATGCCCTAGGGGCCAATCATTGTGTTATGAACATTGTTGATTTATGAATTTCTTAATTATGTTATCATATTATTTGCATGTTTACTGCGATGACTATCCTTGGATAACTCATGATTTTATCCTAAATGTCCCTGGTCAGTCATCTATGTGGGAGCAGAGATGAAATAAGACTAGTATGACTTTGAAGATGTATAGAAATATAAATCAAAGTCATAGGCATATATGTAAGAATACAAGGTGTTGGACTGACCCGCTATAAGAGAGCTGCATGGGTTAAGTCATAAGCTTCTCTCATATACAAACCATGTCACTATGCCCTTTGACCTGAGATCATCATGGATTCCTACATGAGAAACGCTCAGCTTTGACCTAGTCAAAAGTCACTTTTGACCGAGTGATCATAAAGACTATGTTCAGGCTTAATGGTTTTTCATATGGAGGAATGTGAATGGTCAAGATGGAATTTGTCCCTCACATTCGTAGAGAGATATTACTGGGCCCCTCGATGAGTAAGTCTGAGAAATGTATGGCCATACTATAATGGAAAGGTAGTTCCAGACGACTCAGGGATCGAGAAAGTAATGGTCAGGAATAGGAGGATGACGTTCTCCATGCCTCATCCATGACCAGAATGTCATGTGACAAAAGGGACATGATATGGTTGTATGAAAGGTTGCATCATTCATCGATCCTCATATGATTTGGGTAGTTGTGATGTCTTGCTAGAGACTGCTTACGACTTGTGAGTCATTATAGTAAATGGCCCACTGCCAACTTCATATGGGCCTACAGGATCGCACACAAAATAGCCCAACACGAGCTATGATGTCCAGATTCATTGAATCTAAGATATGTCCAGATTCAATGAATAATCTAGGGTGGACGTGTATATATATATATATAAATTCGTGTATATATATATTATATGATATAAGAGATATTTATAAGATTTGATTTATAAGGATAAATTAAATCTCTATCACTTTTAAATTTGAAATTTAAATTGATATGATATCTTAGATTTGATTTATTGGGATAAATTAAATCTATATCAGTTTTAGATTGATATGGTATAATATAATATCTCAAATTTGATTTATTAGAATAAATCAAATATAATTCCGTCATATCTTTATTTTGAGTTAAATGAATAGGTGAATTAAATCTGTGGGACGGATTTAATATAAACTGTATTTATTTAATTGATTTCTTATCAGATTACGCAATATATGATATTGTATTAATTTCAGAATTAATTTAGGATTAATTCTGAAATCCAATATCCTTCATAATATCGATAGCATCCTATATATTTGATATTTTAGGAGCTAGGGTTTTAGGTGTGTGAGAGAGCAAAAGGTTTGCAGATAAGAAACGGCCAAAATAGAAACGGTGAGGACGAATTCTCTGAAAAGCCCTAAAAGGACAAGAGGCGTTAGCACGTCGTTCGTGTGGATACCGGAAGAGGAAGCCGATCTGAGTTGTTGACTTCTCATGAACAAAAGGAGAGCATAGGCATCCTAAACGCCAAAATCCCCGAGCCACCAACGATTTGAATACCGTAGGTAACACCTCTTACTACTTGACTTAAACACAATCGGTAGATCCGGGTAAGGGTTTGGAAAATTTTAAAGTTATTTTCTGCTACGTGTCTTTCAATTCCTTACACATGGTACAAGTGCCTTCATGTAAAAACAAATAATTAGTACTCAAACTAATAACATTAAATGATAAATAAGAAGAATGATGAAATACCTAATCCATATGTTAATAGTCGTAACACCAACCCATCCACGATAAAGTATGTCATTCAACACATGCCAATCAATATTATCAAATATATCACTTGTGCTGTAAATATGCCTATCAAACTCCACTTGAATACCATTTCCTTCCTAAAAAAAAAAAACTAGGTGCAATCAATTCTAATTGATTATGATATGAGGTAATTTGTTTTTGACCTATTTGACTTGCTGATCGTGAGCCTTTCTTTTTCGATACACTTGTTGAACCCTTAAAAAGGCTGCCAACTAATTGAATTTGTTTGCTCCTTTGTTGTGTAACCTATAAAAATCATCAAACTAAATCAAATATTTCTAATAAGATATATGAAAAAGTAATTAAAAAAGGTAAATTTATTATCTTTTGAAATGGCTCAATAAGACCTATAGGCCATGCAATATAAGTACCCACAACATCTTTCACCATCGTTTGCTCATCTGGAGTAGGAAATGGTAATTGAGCATCTTCATTGGTGCAAACATCAATCCTTACACGGAGTGTGTTCTGAGGCAATGGTGAATTGTGCAGAATTTCATTACCATTGTTATAAACAACACCCACAGCAACTACATGCTTAAAAGATTGATCTAAACACAACTTGCAGTTTGAGGTTCCCTACAAAAAAAAAGAAAGTCAATAAAAAAGAAATTATAAAGAAATTAAAAATTAAGTAGAAAAAAACTTGAGAAAATTTACTAGAAGAAGAGGGATTTTAGGAATTGAAGTGCAGTTGTCCTTTATGCTTGGGCTATCACATGTGTGAATACTTGGTCCCACCCCATGTTGTATGTAGCTCTGCAACTACTCCATTAATTCTATATTTTTTTGTTGCAATACACGAGTCTGTTTAAAAAATTGTTCTTGCATTTGCTGCTTGAAAGAATTCATTTCCTCTTTTCGTTGTGAAATGTCATTTCTGCTGCAGCGCTTTTGGGGTCCAAAATAAGATGTTGGTATCACTCCAAAACCAATACCCCGAACACGACCAGGAACTTCAGGGACATTTAATGCTCTACTAAGCAAATCATCACGTCCAATACGTTAGGCTTCATCTGCTGATTCTTGTGTGATTGATTGCTAAGACAAAAAAGAATGATAAAATTATTTCTTATAAAATAGAATCATTTAAATAAAAACTACTTAATGGAACATATAATACTTACACAATACTTTTCTATATGCATCACATCAAGAAAATGTCTCACATGTAAAAACTTCCAATATGAAAGTTCAAAGAAAATTGACTTTTTCTTCTAACCAGTTATGGTAACATCTTTGTAAATACTTGCCAAAATTACTATCTAAGTCTTTTACCTTCTCAAAAACCTACACACCAGTCAACATCTTTGGTGGACTACCTTCTTCTGAGTCCCCATTAAAAGCCTTTTTCCACTACCTCTAATGATGTTTTGCAAGTAAGAATCTATGATGTCCTATTGAGACACTTTTCTTACAATGATCTAATCACATTGAATGAGTATTATCTGCACATATAGGGCATACATAATATTCTTTAATACTGTATCCGGATAGATTACCATAAGCAGGAAAATCATTAATTATGCCAAACAGCATGGCTCTTAAATTAAAACTTTCCTCCCTATACCCATCATACACATTCACCCCAATCTCCCACATTAGCTTTACATCATCAATCAAAGGAGCCAAGTATACATCTATATCATTCCCAAGCTATCTCAACCTTAAAATTAAGATCAACAGCATTATAAACTTATGTTTCATGATTAAGCATTACGGAAGGTAATATATCATCAATACCACATGCCATGTGCTATGAGTACTACTTTGAACACTATGAGGATTACTTCCATCAGTTGCCAGGCAAGTCATAAGTTCCTGTCTTCTTCCCTGAAGTTTGGGTACTTATAATCAATTTTTTTCCATTGAGGAGAATTTGTAGGGTGCTTAAGCTTCGTGTCTTCAATCCTCTCATTTACATGCCATGTGAACTGCTTAGCAATTTTTGCATTACTATACATGTACCGAAATCTTGGAATAATAGGAAAATACCAAAGGACCTTCAAAGGATTTTTGCCTTTCTTCCCATATCATAATGCATTACATGTAGGGCACTTCTCCAACAATCTGAGGATGATAAGTCGTACTAAAACTTAGCTTAGTGTCCATGGCTTCCTGTAATGCTCTCTAAAACTTAGAGAGAAATCCAGGGTCCCTATCAGAAATAATCGTTTCCAATACTCCATGCAACCTCACAATTTCTCAGACGTATATCCATGCCAACTTTTTTTGTTGGTACTCTTTCTTAATAGCCAAGAATTGAGCGGACTTCGTTAGGCGATCCACAATTACCCATATTACGTCATAACCTGACGATGTACGAGGTAATCCCATTATAAAATACATAGAAATGCTTTCCCACATCCATTCCAAAATACTCAGGGGTTGTAAGGATCCTGATGGATTTTGTTGTTCTATCTTCACCTTTTGACAAGTGAGGCACCACTACAACAAAATGTGTTATTTACCTCCATTATTTATGTCTGTTCTAAAAAACAAAGGAGAAATATATAATCTTTACATCTGTTTACACAAAACAGACATTACTTCATGTCTGTTTACACTAAATAGAAATGAAGTAATATCTGTTTAATAAAAACAGACATTAATTCACGCCTGTTTGGAGAAAACAGACGTGAAGCCACGTCTATTTTTCAAGAAACAGACGTGAAGGTGGCTTATTTTTTAAAAAAATTCACCCTCATCAGCTTCATATCAGTACCGTGAAGCTAATTTAGTCACCAGCTAGTGGCTAGCGCGCACAGGAACTTTGATTTTTCGCTCTCTCCCTCTCATTTTCGTCTTCTACCAGCAGCAACCGTGAGCTACCCTGAAACTCTCCCTCTCATTTTAGCTCTCTCAAGGCTATTATTCTGTAGCTAGCCTTCACTCCATTGTCGTCATTCTACATCAACTATCATTTTCGTGTTGCAGCAGCTCGTCACCGTCAATTAACAAGGCTGAAGCAGTGAAGTTCACACACATAGCAGCTTGCTGTCCTCCTCGTCTCTCCAGGCTGTGATACTCTCTGATTCAAAGGCAAGTGTAACATCCTTATTTTTATCTAGTATTTAATTAAATTTATAAATAAATATATTTTAGTATTAAGTTAATTAAAAAAAAAAAGAAGTTAGATATAGGCAAATTATCATTATTATTATTTTAATAATGTTTTTGTGTGTTATTGTGTGTGTGTGTGGATGATATTCTAGAAAATTAAACCATAGTATAGAAGTCCCATATCGACTAATCTTTAGAGTGAAGGAGGTTGAGGAGCCTATATATAGGAGATAATGAGTAGAGCTTGAAGGGAGTAAATAATTTTCGCACATATCTGAGGTAGTCTCAGAAACGTGCTAGTTTTGAGTTTATTAACCGTTGGATCGAACTGAAATTTGGTCAGCCCATTTGGGACATCCAAATCGTTAATTTCAACTGTTCGATCATCATTTTGATCTCCGAGTTACAAGTTATTAGGTACGTTTTTAACTTATATCTTTTGGATTTAGCAGATAGAGTCCAGAATAGTAAATTGGCATTTTAAAGTTCATTCACCGTTAGATTGAGCTATGATTTGGAGGATAGTATCATGATAGATAGGGAATTAAATTCAACGGTTAGATTAAGGGTTTAACTTCTATAGTGAGAATAACCTATGTCATTTTGAACCCTGTGCATCTATTTTGGGTGGGGAAAGGAGATAATTGGAGTTATTGAGATTCATATACTTGCCATGTGGTATTAGCCTCCATACGGAGCTCTATGGTTAGCTGCTATTATTGTCCCACTAGTTCTTTGAGGGACTGCGACACCCTACTAGTTCTTCGAGGGGGGCCCATGGTCCACCGAGTGCTCTGTGGTCTTTGGCTGGTCCACATCATTCGTGTGGTGAGCTTGTCAGAGTTACCAGTCAAATGGAAAGAACTTAGCCCATGGGTCCAGTCGGCGGAAATAAGGAGGATATAAGGATAGATTTGGGTTCAGGAATTGCATATGACATGGGATATTCATTGATATTTATATCTTTTAAATAAATGACAAGTATGTTATCTCTTTTGAAATGTATCAATTGCATGAGATTGGTAGAAATATTTGTCTTGTATGATTATTGTGAGTTTAAATGTTAAATAAATGTTTATCAATTATTATTAACTCTGTGTATCCCACCTGACACCTCGCTAGCCCATGCTAGGGTGTGGGATAGGTAGGGATTTAGTTACTGAGATGTTGTCTCACTCCTGTTGCTTTACCATTTTCAGGAAACAATACGTTAGCGGGACCTTCAGGGAAGACTCCTGAGGCTCAATAGCTATAGCCGATAGTGTAAAGCTTCTGGACCTTATTTTATGCAATCTTTTCGTATATTGCCACGCATCAGGATTGCATTCATTTGGGACTTATTTTACCTTCTCATATTTTTATGTCAATTGACTTAGTGAACGCATTATACCTTCTATCTTTGGTTTATTTTGTCTGAATATTAGACTAGAGTGCTGATAGTGGGCCCGAGGCCCTTAGATTGCATGTGACTGAATTATTGTGGATCCACGATGTGAAAATGGCAATTTTTGTAAGTTTAGTTATTGCTAGTATTGACTAAGATAGTCAAGTCTAAACTGCTATTATAATTTATCATTCAAAGGCGTATTGTTTTATAACTATGTTTGCTATGATTACAAATATAGGTTATTCTTTTTCTAACTATGATAGCATTAATTAAGGTCGAATGCTTTTCTATCATGGTTAGCCCCTTAATGATGTGATTGGTCTTAAATAACCATGATAGGGTAGGTTTACTAGTTTTAGTCCTTTCTAACATGGTTAGCTCTGGTTAGTAAGTGATGGTGTTATATTTTGGTATCAAAGCCATTGGTTTTTCCTTTTTGTGATTTTGAATTGCTTCCTGCATGCATATAGTGGCAATATACATAGTTGCATAAACTTCCCTGAAATGTCCTTAGTTTTCTCATGTTTTCTTTCGTTTGGTTGTATTCATGGGTTCCATCCTTAGGTGGGGAGAATGGCAAGACCACGAAGGACTGAACCCATAGTAGAGGAGGCTTCTTCTTTTCCGGAACAACTTCTTAATCAACCTAATGATCAACTACCCGAGCAACCTCAACAGCAGAATAACGAGGTTCTACTGACGCAATTACGACAAGTAGTAGCTGAAGTCGTGGAAGAAAGGCTTAAGAAGCTGGAGGAGGATATGATGGGAAAAAGAAATTCAGAGATCAGAGCAGAGGAAAACCAAGTACTGAGAGTGGGAAAGAAACAGTCCAACAAACCCCGCTAGTGGATGTTTCAATGAAAACAGTATGGAAAGATGTGAGCTGTCATAATGCCCCGAGATTTAAGGGTGACATCAATCCAGTTGAGGCTGAAGGTTGGTTGATAAACTGGAGACCATTTTCAGAGCTGCCCCTTGCATTACTCAGCATAAGGTGCAAGTAGCTATTGTGCTATTAGAGGGACGAGCTAAGCGCTGGTGGGAAAGTGTGAGCCCAGCTGATGACTCACAAGTTACTTGGAATGAATTCAAGAGGATGTTCTTTGATCACTATTTCCTGCCTGCCCTACGTCAAGACAAGGAATCAGAGTTCTTTGCCTTACAACAAAACAATATGCATGAAGATGACTTTATTGCTAAGTTTATAGACTTGTCCAAGTATGTGACATTATTGCGGAGGGATAAGGACTCAGGGTGGATGGCTAGGCAATTACGAGAAAGAGCTAGACTAGACTTGAAGCAACAACTGGCCCTGGTTCCAGTGACTAATTTTGGATATATGTGTACCAACCTTCGAGTTGCAGCTAGGCGGACTCGTGAGGCTGAGGAAGCTCGTAGAAGGGATTCTCAAGGGCAGTTTTCCTCATACCCTGGACCAAGTGGAGGGGTTAGTAAGAGAAATAATACAGGCATAGGAAGTGTAGGTCCATATGGAAAGAATCGAAGTTTAAGCCACAAGAAGTCTGTACAGAAGGGCTCAGGCCAGAAGAGCATAATCTCAAGATCTCAGTCTAATAGAAACCCGATCGCTCATCATGAATCAGTGATGTCAACCCCTACTATCCATGGACCTTGCTTACAGTGTGGAAGGAACCATCCTGGAAAATGTTGGGAATGCTACAAGTGTCACAAGATAGGGCACATTGCTCGTTATTGTCCTGAGAATCAGCATAACATTCAGAACTCCAGGGATACTCGATCAATAATGCCAGACCGTGTCTTTGCTATTACTCAAGAAGAAGTAGGTGCTGCCCTTAACGCCATCAAAGGTATGATATCCCTTCAGGGACATCATGTCGAAGCACTCTTTGATTCTGGTGCTACCCATTCCTTTGTTTCTCATAAATATGTCTTGCATTCTAATTTGCACATCTCTGAGATGCCTGTTATTTTGAGTGTGTCTACTCCTGCGGGTTTGTCTGTTAGAGCTATTCAAGCTTGTTTAAACCTTAAAGGCCGTAGAACAACAATAGATCTAATTTGTTTACCATTACAAGGAATGGATGTAATTATTGGGATGGATTGGTTATCACATAATAATGCTGTACTAGATTGTAGAAAAAGAGTAGTTGTCTTCCCTAAAGATGTGGTGCCTATAGAACCATCTAGTGGGTCAGTATTCTTATCCGCCACGTGAGTAGATGAATGCATACGAAAAGGATGTCAAGCCTATGTGGTGTTCTTCTCAATACAAGTGGATATCGAGGAAAGAATCGATCATATTGACGTGGTTAGGGAATTTCCTGAAGTCTTCCCTAAGGAAATGACCGGGTTACCTCCTGAACGAGAAGTCGAGTTTACAATTGATTTAATACCAAGCACGACACCTATATCTAAGACTCCTTACCGAATGTCTCCATCCGAGTTGAATGAATTAAAAAGACAGATAGAGGAACTTCTCGAGAAAGGGTTTATTAGACCCAGTGTATCCCCATGGGGATCTCCAGTGTTGTTTGTTAAGAAGAAAGATGGGAGCATGCGTCTGTGCATCGACTATCGACAGCTGAACAAGGTAACAATCAAGAACAAGTACCCCTTGCCTAGAATAGATGATCTATTAGATCAGCTAGTGAGATCTTCAGTCTTTTCTAAGATTGATTTGCGGTCAGGCTACCATCAACTTACAGTTAAAGCAGAAGATATCTCTAAGACTGCTTTTCGTACAAGATATGGACATTATGAGTTTCTGGTGATGCCATTTGGGTTGACTAATGCTCTAGCAGTGTTTATGGACTACATGAATCAAATTTTTAGACCTTATCTAGACCAATTCATAGTTGTATTTATTGATGACATCTTAATCTATTCAAAAAGTGAAGCAGAACATCGAGAACACCTAAGAGTTGCACTACAAGTGTTGAAAGATCACAAGCTTTATGCAAAGTTAAGCAAGTGTGAGTTTTGGTTGAAGGAAGTAAACTTTCTAGGTCATGTGGTTTCAGCAGAGGGGGTGGCAGTAGACCCGAGTAAAGTAGATGCTGTGCTGAAATGGGAGTCACCCAAGTCAGTTACAGAGGTTAGAAGCTTTGTGGGATTAGCAGGATACTATCGCAGGTTTATCAAAGGATTCTCTCAGATCGCCATGCCATTAACAAAACTGATAAAGAAAGATCAACCGTTCATCTGGACTGATAAGTGCGAAGCTGCATTCCAAGAGTTGAAAACCCGATTAACAACCGTACCTGTTCTTACTATCCCTGACCCGAATCGACCATATACCCTATATACTGATGCCTCATTGAAAGGTTTAGGTGCCGTATTAATGCAAGATAGGAAGGCAGTAGCATATGCTTCACGACAGCTAAGATCCTATGAGGAAAATTATCCAACTCATGATCTAGAGCTGGCAGCAGTGGTATTTGCCCTTAAGATTTAGAGACACTATCTTTATGGTTCAAAGTTTGAAGTGCTTAGTGACCATAAGAGTCTAAAGTATTTGATGGATCAGAAGGAATTAAACAACTGGCAGTGAAGGTGTCTAGAATTCCTAAAAGATTATGATTTCGAACTGAGATATCACCCAGGGAAGGCAAACGTGGTCGCAGATGCCCTAAGCCGAAAAACCGTTCACGTACTCTGTATGAATCTAAGAGAGTACTACTTGCTAGAGAGCTTAAGGGATAGTGGGGTTTTTCCTAGCTCACCTACCCTATTACAGTCAAATGTTAAGGTGATTGATTTAAGGAAGGAACTTATGGCTTCTCAATTGCAAGATGAGCACCTAAAGGGAATTAAGAAAGAGTTACAGAAAGGAGAGGTAAAGGATTATAGCCTTGGGGAGGATGGTATTTTAAGGTCCCAAGGGAAGGTGTGCATTCCAGGTAATAAAGAAATTAAGACGCTGGTACTAGAGGAAGCCCATCGAAGTAAATATACCATGCATCCAGGAGCCACCAAGATGTATCATGACTTGAGACAACAATATTGGTGGCCAGGGATGAAGCGAGATGTGATAGAGTATGTACAGAAGTGTCTCACTTGTCAGAGAGTGAAGATCGAACATCTAAAACCCCCAGGCTTGTTGCGGAATCTAGATATACCCAAATAGAAATGGGAGAGTATCTCTATGGACTTCATTACGAGATTACCAAGAACGCCGGCAGGTTTTGATGCCATATGGGTTATTGTGGATCGGTTAACAAAGTCCGCCCACTTTTTACCCATTAAAGTGAACTACTCGATGGAAAAGTTAGCACAAATATATGTCTCAGAAATAATTAGACTTCATGGAACCCCGATAAGTATAGTCTCAGATCGCGATCCCAGGTTCACATCAGGATTTTGGAAATCGTTACAAGAGGCAATGGGATCCAAATTGTGTTTTAGTACAGCATACCACCCGCAGACTGATGGACAAACCGAAAGAACCATACAAATATTGGAAGATATGCTTCGAGCATGTATTATTTGCTGGAAATTGTGCCCTAGGGGCCAATCATTTTGCTATGAACATTGATTGATTTATGAATTTATTAATTACGTTATCATATTATTTGCATGTTTACTGTGATGACTATCCTTGGATAACTCATGGTTTATCCTAAATGTCCCTGGTCGGTCATCTATGTGGGAGCAGAGATGAAATAAGACCAGTATGACTTTAAAGATATATAGAGATATAAATTAAAGTCATAGGCACATGTAAGAGTACAAGGTGTTGGACCGACCCGCTATGAGAGAGCTGCATGGGTTAAATCATAAGCTTCTCTCATATACAAACCATGTCACTGTGCCCTTTGACCTGAGATCATCATGGATTCCTACATGAGAAACGCTTACCTTTGACCTAGTCAAAAGTCACTTTTGACCGAGTGATCATAAAGACTATGTTCAGGCTTAGTGGTTTTTCATGCGGAGGAATGTGAATGGTCAAGATGGAATTTGTCCCTCACATTCGTAGAGAGATATTACTGGGCCCCTTGATGAGTGAGTCTGAGAAATGTATGGCCATACTATAATGGAAAGGTTCCGTTTCTATACTCAGACTACTCAGGGATCGAGAAAGTAACGGTCATGAATAGGAGGATGACGTTCTCCATGCCTCATCCATGACCAAAATGTCGTGTGACAAAATGGACGTGATATGGTTGTATGAAAGGTTACATCGTTCAACGATCCTCATATGATTTGGGTAGTCGTGATGTCTTGCTAGAGACCGCTTACGACTTGTGAGTCATTATAGTTAATGGCCCACTGCCAACTTCATATGGGCCTACAAGGTCGCACACAAAATAGCCCAACACGAGTTATGATGTCCAGATTCATTGAATCTAAGATATGTCCAGATTCAATGAATAATATAAGGTGGACGTGTGTATATATATATATAAATTCGTATATATATACATATTATATATATATAAGAGATATTAATTGTTAGATTTAATTTATAAGGATAAATTAAATCTATATAAATTAATTTCATCATATCTTTATTTTGAATTAAATAAATAAGTGAATTAAATCTGTGAGACGGATTTAATATAAACCATATTTATTTAATTGTTCTCTTATCTGATTAGACAATATTTGATATTGTATTAATTTCGGAATTAATTTAGGATTAATTTTGAAATTAAATGTCATTCATAATACCTATAGCATCCTCTATATTTGATATTAGGAGCTAGGGTTTTGAGTGAGAGAGTGAAAACACTTGCAAATAAGAGACGGCTAAAAATAGAGAAGGAGGACGGATTCTTTGAAAAACCCTAGACGGACAAAGAGGCGATAGCACGTCGTTCGTGACTGGAGAGCTATTCGTGTGGATACCGGTAGAGGAAGCCGACCGGAGTTGTCAACTTCGAACGATAAAGGAGGCGAGCAGAGGCATCCTGAACGGCAGAATCACCGAGCCACCAAGAAACCGAACATCGAAGGTAATGCTTCTTACTACTTGATTTAAACACGATCGGTAGATCCGGGCAAGGGATTGAAATTTTTTTAAATTTATTTCCGTTGCGCGTTTTTCAATTCCCTTCATTATTGAGTTTAAAGGGATTTGGGATAGCCACTTATCATTAGCAGAGTTTGCTTATAACAATAGTTACCATTCTAGCATACAAATGGCACCATTTGAAGCATTATATGGCAGAAAGTGTAGATCGCCATTGTGTTGGACAGAGTTGAGTGAAAGGACTATTATTGGCCCTAAGTATGTGGATGAGACCACCAAGAAGATTGAAGTAATCAAAGAAAAGTTACTGATTGCACAAGGTAGACAGAAAAGCTACGCTGATTAAAGATAAAGACTGCTAGAGTTTGAGGTAGGGGATCATGTGTTCCTGAAGGTATCTCCTACTATCGGTATTTGTAGATCCATTAAAGCTAAAAAGTTAACACCCAGATATATCAGACCGTATGAAATCCTAGAAAGAATTGGTTCAGTAGCCTACCGTATTGCACTACCTCCACACTTGTCAAAGGTGCATGATGTATTCCATGTCTCCCAATTGAAGAAATACCAGCTAGACCCATCACACATTATAGAATTAGAAGAGGTGGAACTACGAAAAGACTTGACTTATAAAGTAGAACCAGAGAGAATCCTGGATGTCAAGGATAAGGAATTACGGAATAAGACTATTAGACTCCTCAAAGTCTTCTGGAAGGGCATGTCACATGGGGATACTACTTGGGAAACTGAGGAGAGAATGCGTTGTGACTATCCTCATCTATTCGATAAAGGTATGAACACGTCATCCTTTATTGAATTTTGAGGACAAAATTTCTTTAGGTGGGGAGAACTGTAACATCCTTATTTTTATCTAGTATTTAATTAAATTTATAAATAAATATATTTTAGTATTAAGTTAATTAAAAAAAAAGAAGAAGTTAGATATAGGCAAATTATCATTATTATTATTTTAATAATGTTTTTGTGTGTTATTGTGTGTGTGTGTGGATGATATTCTAGAAAATTAAACCATAGTATAGAAGTCCCACATCGACTAATCTTTAGAGTGAAGGAGGTTGAGGAGCCTATATATAGGAGATAATGAGTGGAGCTTGAGGGGAGTAAATAATTTTCGCACATATCTGAGGTAGTCTCAGAAACGTGCTAGTTTTGAGTTTATTAACCGTTGGATCGAACTGAAATTTGGTCAGCCTATTTGGGACATCCAAATCATTAATTTC